ACTATGCAGAAGCATTTATTTTGTTTAGAAACTTAAATTTCTACCTTTGATTCCAGTATTGGTGGCAGCGTGTTGAAGTAGCTGTTATGTTAGTTCTGATTGGTTCTTTTTGTAGACACTTTGGTTGAAGCATTGAATGAATGGACAATTATTCTCTGTGATTTTCGATGCTTGTTTCTTCTTGAATTTAGCATCATTTGGATGGTAAATGTATTTGTGAGTGCAGTATATGGGTTACAACCATTGAAAACTTTCCAAATGTGGCATCCATTAAGGTTAACCCAGGCTTGCCAAGTGGTATAAAAAGCCTACAACAAAGATTAAATCGACAAAATACAAGTTTCTTTACTTTTTTAAATTTAATTACATGCATGAATGCATTTGTTCACTAAGAAATACCGCTATAAATAACTGATGTGTTTTTATTGGTTGTGCTGGGAAGTTCCTCTGCTCTAATGCTTTTTTTATGTAAGTGATGCATTTCAGTCAGTCAGTCAAAGGTCATCGTCTTAATGGGCGTTGTGTGTCAACACCCAAACGCTTCCTCCAACACTTTGAAACAAAAAAAAAGGATTATAGCTGTGAAACCGAGACGTATCAGTGCCGTCGCAGGGCGAGTTTACATTCACAAGCTGAATAACAGCAGTGTTGATTCTTCAACAGGCCAAACAGCCGAGCAGAGGACTTTTACAGGCATAAAATGATGAGTACTCATATTCTTTAGCTATAGTTGCTGCAATTGTAAGCTAGCATCTCGACAGACTATCACCAATTAATGAGAGCCAAATGTTGTAAGTTGGTATTTATTGTAAAGCTTATGTACAAGAAGGGAAGACTACGGTTAGTTGGGTGCTAGCATGACGCCAGATGGAACTAAAAATGTCACAGACACTTTGCTAATGCTAACAACGTCCAAGCTAGCTTACTGTGTAAATTAACATTTAATACAGTTATACAATTATTTATACTCCTGGTAGATTTAGATGTAAACCAATATATTTTTGTCAACAAGTTTCTGCTGACCGAAGATGATATTAAAGTTTTGGAGTGGACAGATTAGGGTGATGCCAAGGAGGCAAACTCAGATTTGCAGCTCATTACCAAAGATAAATTATCGAAATACCAGTAGAAAGATGGGGAAGAACAAGCAGTTCAGCAATGAATTTTATTACTATTTTATATATATATTTAATATATATATATATATATATATTTTAAAAAAACATTGTTTATGGTATAAATCATTTTCCCTCATGCCATTTTTAATAAAATGCAAGTTAAAAATACATTTCAGATTGCTTTATGATATTTGAAGCAACATGTGTCTTTTCTATCAGAACAAACAAAAAACTTAGTTGTTTAATAGAAATAATTTAAACCTACATTTGACAGAGGTATGAATAACTGTTCCTAGCTGAATGTGTTTCAATGATTAAAAAAAAAAAATCTGGAAGGATTGGCAATACCCGATGACGCACAGATAACTAATTTTCTGAGTTAAAAAAAGGCTCATCTTCAGGATTGTGACAGAATGTCACCATAACAACTTCAATGTCACATTTTTCAAACAGTAATTATTTTTTTTTTACTCTCCTGCAGTCTTAGCGCAACACTCAGGAGACGCACATCAAATGTCACAGTCGAACAGCAGTGAAGTAGGGCAGGATGTCCTGTTAGACCGTCAGTTCCCAAAACTACACACATACACACACAAAAACCTAGTAAAAGCTTTTGGGGTCCACATGACCCCATCTAATAAGACCGCAGGAGGGTTAAAGTTCACACATATAACGCAAGTAAACTTTCTGCTACACCAATTTTGGGGGTTTTTGTAATTCAAATTACAAAAAATAAATGCTTGGGATATTTAATTCTGTAGGTAATGACTTTTTGTGAATTTCACTTTCTAAAATGAGTGACAAAAAATACATTTTTTTTTATATTTACATGTACATATAGCAGTGATGTAAACGTAAAGAATATATTAACCTTTAGGACACTAAAGATTTTAACATGCCTACTATATATATATACATCTGTTGCAGCATGGCATAGCAACATGTTGGACGCTTAGAAAGTCCAAACCACAGTGGCCACAGTACGCCATTAAAATCCAAGGTTGTCACTAAAGTTTTCAACATTCTAACAGCTACGCAGCCACCTTTTTCTCCCCTCCAACTGATGTTAAAGTTCATATTTGAAACACCTCACTCTTGTTTCTGAAACAGCATCCGAGCTAACAAATTTCCAAAATGAAAGTTTACAAAAGCAAATCTGAGCCGCAAGTAACACACAAGACGCGAGACGTTGCATTAACAAGGCATGAGCTAGCCATTTATTGTTTAGAGGAAGTTAACATGGTTAACTGTATTCAAAGTCATACAATACACCTCTTAAGCTCTGTGAGAGGCTCCTCCCCATGTCTCAGGGAGAAGAGCTGCGAGGAATATACATACAGTATATTTTATTGGCAAGTAGATATGTTTTAGCAAGTACATTCTCTTCTACTTGGTGTTCATGTACAATATACATGTCAAAAAAATATAGTTTGTTTGCTTCGGGATCCTGCTTTTGTTTTTTTTTTTCTTCCTTTTTTTGTTCAGGATGTTCATGATGAAGGAATTCACATTTAGTTGTTACTCGTTCTTAAGATGGCGCCGGAGCTAGAAGAGCAGCCATTTTATTATACACATACACGTTATGCATAGAAGGCACCTCTATGCATTAAAATTGCTTTCATGATTCATAGAGAAAAGCAATCATCTGGGAAGAAAAAGGGAAAAAAAAAAAAAAAAGAAAGAAAAAAGCATCTGAGAACACGAGCACACCACGGAAAAACAAATTTAAAAAAAAACTAAAGAAAGAAAGCAAGTGCTCTAGCAGAGACCAGACGAGAACAGAGTCATCCTCTCAACAAGAAAACTGCATACAGTACACCACACCACAGAGCGTCTCTACCAGAGGATGGACTTCGATCAGAATAATCAAAGAACACTTTGAAGCAGGAGAGATCCGCGCTGGGAGAACTTCATGATTCCTACAGTAAAAGAGAAGCTGGTCGGCCCTGATTCAGTGGTTGTGAAAAAAGTGTCTCCAAAGGCAAAGAGCACAGCGACTTCCTCTTCGTTCCCCACCCCCCCAAACCGCCAACCCCCCCGCCCCGACCCTCATGTGAGAGATTCAGAGTTAGCACTGTTATAGTAAGTACAACCACAACACTGCAGTTTCTCAAGGCGGAAAGCAAGTGGAGCAACGCTTAAGTTACATGTCTGAGTGAGAGTTAGGACTGCTCTGCACAAGTGCAGCTGATTGTGGAGTTTGACATTTAGAAAAAGTAAAATAAAATTTAAAAAATCCCTCCAATTTCATGATTCTTAAAAGAAAAATGTATCTGTTTAAAATAAAAAGAAAAAAAAGAAAAAGAGATACTGATTAGTCTCGTCAACCTGACGTATGAAACTAGCCCGAAAATAAGTCCAGCACTTAACTTCCTCTTGAAACCGCTTCTTGTTTTAGCCCCGTTCGAACCCGCAGCCCCTACTTACATCTCATTCAGTCGGTTTGTAGCTGTCAGCTACATTTTAGTACAGCTACCTGATAAAATATATATTAATTGATAAGATATGATTTGAAATCATTGGTGCATAAGTATTACAAAGCTTGCATGTCTTTTAGATGCATTTTAGTTCAATATCACCCCAAATGTGCCTACAGTGATGTTAGGGTTGCTGCTTAGGAGCCATTTCCTGTTTAAAAATTAAGATGGCGCCACGGTTTCCACCCAGGCTAGAGGACCTAAGAGAGAATGCTGGGATATCATAAACCGCTGACCCTCTTAGGACGTTCTATCAGCATTTCTGCCTGTTTCTGGATACATGTACTAACAAGCTGAGCAGTGGGCTCAGGACACTGCCCTGTGGAACACCGGAATTAACGAGAAGCAACATTTTTCTTCTTTATGTGTCAATATACGTTGGTTAGAAAATCCACAAAATTCTATAAAACACGACTAAATTCTGGATTCAGCAGTTTGAGTAAATTTTGACAACAATGTAAAAGAAAAAAAATGCAATTGTCTAAATGAACGCAAGCCTTGATAAAGTAAATCAGTTCTTTTCACAAAATGTCAAACATTTTCTTTAAACACTAGTTGAAATGATTTTCCTAAAAAGCTGTATAGATGTGTGTGTGTGTGTGTGTGTGTGTGTGTGCGCACATAAACCATGTCAATGACCAATGTTACGCTCTAGAAGCTGAGAGATGTGCGATTGTTTCGTTAAACAGTGACTCTCAAACTTAAGTACATGTGGTGTTCGTAAAAAGGCAATGGTACACAACAGGCATTTGTCTTCAATAGTGGAAAAATAAAAATAAAGAAATGCACTTAAAAAACAAAAAAACAAAATGAGGAATTAAAATTAAGAAAAAAAAACACTGTGGCAGCCATGGACCTGTGACGATGCCAGCAGGTGAAACAGACAACAGATTCCCCTGAAATCTCAGTATGTCAACATACTGTGTGTGGCAGAAATACAGGCCGCCGTGGTGACTCCTCCCCTAAAACCCAGAATGAGACCATTTATAAAAAGCTAATTCAAGACTGAAACTGCTCTGCTGCTCAACAAAAAGCGCAGCATTAAGGATATCCGGCTTCAGCTAAGGAATGGTTAATAAACAGACTGAATTCCACTGAAAGAATATTAAGTCTATGTAAACTAGAAGACAGAAAAAAAAAGATCATTTACACTCTAAACAAGTTCAGTTTGAGTGCATTTCAGGTGGTTCAACACCTGAAAAAAAAAAACAACCTAAACCCTCATTTTAGAAGTCACTGGGTTATAAATCTAAATTAATATTCAATCATTTCATTAATTACAAACATTAATGGATGGTAATTTTGCCCTACAATGCAGAAACCATCGTCTTTTCTCCTGTGTCGAAGGCTAACTGGTTCACATAATGGAGCTAAAAAAAACCCAATGAAAATAAGAAATCACTTGTGGGTTTGGCACAGGCCTTTTCCAAGAAACTCCTCACATCTTTTTCTAAATACTCTACTTTAACTTTGGTTAATAAAGAAAAAAAAAAAAAAAACATAAAATATACAGAAGATGAGCGAAGGTTAACTGTGTATCCCCCCTGTTGACCCCCAAGGATTGAACTGGAGCTGGGCTTTAAGCAGGTGACGCGTTTGGCTTCTCAAAGGCTCCTCTGATGATCACAGTGGTTTAGAGTTCAACTTGAGGGAAAATGGTCGAGTAGAAAGCGCGACAAGATTATGAGCCCGCCATCTGGTTCTCCCTCAGGTTTTAGTTTGGTTGTTGTATGTCCCATACCCCCCACCCATCCCTCCACCCACCCAACCCCACCTCCTATTGTTCCACATGGTCAAGTCTCAGGCGTCAAGGTGTAGCTGGCGAAAAACTGTCAGATATCAGGATCCTGGAAGGAGAAACATAATTGGGGGAGATAGGGAGGGAGGGGGGAGTTTTCTTAAAAACTGGTTTGAATACAAGATAGAGTATTATAATAAGATCACTTCTTCGAGATGTCATCTGTTGATCTAGTTTCTTCAGATATGTCTGCTGTTTCTTAGTTTGACCTACTGGATTTTGTTGAAAATTGCAGGATGGATTTTATTTTATTTTCTTTGAACTTTAATGAATAGCATCATTTTTGCATTAACCAACTAAATGTTTTAACTTTTGTTGAGAACTCAATTTGCAAAAACTAAAGCAGGGAATTTAACCCGTTCATTTCAATGAATTAATTACAGAAATTTTAAACGCATGTACATTTTTTTTCCAACGCAATTAGTCGCATGGTTCGGATTATTTTTTATTTTTTTTAAATAAAAAAAACTTTCGGCCGGAACCTTCGTATTCGCAGATTTCTGTTACGCCCGCAAATCTGACGCACAAGAGTCGAGTTAGGACATTGAAACAGATACGTAGATTCAACTCAAGCTTTTACTTGACACGAAAAAAACATCAAATATAAATATGCATGTAATATATACAGTCCTGTCAAGACAAAATGTTAAACTTGTGATTATCGTATTTAAAGCCAACCTTTTAAAATGAATTTAGGACGTCTTAAGGCTTTAATTGTAGATACATGAATATAAAACTTTAGGAATATGTGGACACGCTGAATTAATAAATATAATTTTTGAAGTGAACTGACCTCTCTTGAATTAAGAGCTTACATATAATTTAATTGTCATTATGTTGTAGAAATCAGTTTTCACTTTGACACTGAAGAGATATTTTTGTCTTTTTTTTTTAAAAAAAAAAAAAAAAAAAAAAAAAAGCTAACTTCTGTTGATTATGATTGATTTATGAAGGCAATAAGAACGGCATAACATCCAAGGGGTTGAATAGTTCTTATAAGAACTGCATAATGCAGGGATTTGATATATGCAGTAAGTTACCTGGTACTGATAGAGTCCTGGAATTAAAGGCGAGTCTCATCTGAAGGTCTTCTGCTGTTGCATCAGCCCCACGTTCTCATAAACTCTGGAGCTGTCGTCTCTCATCCTAACCACACCAACACCGTTCAGTCAGAAACAACATCAGCGTTAGAAATATCGGAAATTCGCTCCGCCTTCTCCCACGATTACTCACTCTGTGCAGACGGGAGTCGGACTGGGCGAGCAGAGCGGTAAGGGGCTCTGCTCTCCGCCGGACAGGTCAGACAACGAGTACTTGATGTTGGTGTACTCGCGTCCTTTGATCTTGCTTTTCTGTGGACGGGGAAGAGAGCACACAGATCGTTACAGCAAACAGCCGTGCGGTTGGAGACGAAGCCGTGATGCGACCTGCTGCACACCAGCTCCTCCTCGATGCGCCTCTGCAGTGTTTCTATGTAGTGCTGCACGGCCATGTAGATGAACCGGTACTGCGCCTCCGTCTGCACCATCCCCGAGCGCTGGGAGCGAACCATCTGGATGGTCTTCGGCACGTCGATGTCACAGTCCACCCCTGCCGTGGGACGGAGACACTTTCAGACGACGGAGTCCCGCACAAATCAGGTTTACAGGTTTTGGATCTTTGTATGATGAAATGAACCAGACAACTTCTTTTTCGTTTTTAATACAAGCCTCTTGAAATATGTTTTCCCAACTATACTTTGTTTTTGGGTTCTTTTACTGTATTTATTAATGTATGAATGTTTGTATTTTTTTTTGTTTGTTTTATGGATGGAAATTGTCAATTTGCTAAATCTGATATATTTACAAAAACACTGTAAGTTCATTTTATTAATTACCAATACATGAAGTTTGTTCCTCCCAGTCTGCTTCATACTGAGGCCTGCTCTAAGCGGCTCTGCCTAGACTTTACCTCGCGTTGCAGGAACTACACTTCACACTTTGAGCTACAGATTACAGTGTTTATTGGGCCATTAAGCGTATGCCGCGTTTGTGAGTTTAAAAGCACAGTCCTTACCCTTTAATTTCAAAGTAAACCACAGAAAATTCTGTGGGCTGAAAAGACGTGCCGCTTCGCCTGCACCCTGCTGCAAAACACTAGAGGGGGGATCTACCTCAAAATGTTGGGTTAGAGCTAAAAAAAAAAAAAAAAAGGGGCAACGAGCTCCACTGGATTCAGCCTTAGTTTGTCACAAGACTCGGTGGGGGGAGGGTTCAACATTTTGTTCACTACTGTGTTTATTTGATTTAAAGCAGCATTCAGCTTCTATATGCTCCACAAATTTGGAACAAATGTTCACAAAACTGCAAGACACTGAGATCCTTTAAACTAAGGCTATTTGTTTAGAGATGCCTTTGATTAGTAATAAATAGAAAATTGATCAACATATTTTGTGTATTGGCTTAATGATTTTGATGATGACATTTGACAAAATGTCATGTTTACTGCTTGTTTCACAGTTGGTGACTTTACCATGTTTTCATAATGTAAAGGACTTTGAACTGGCTTGTTGCTGAAATGTCCTATACAAATAAACTTGACTTAAAATACTAGAACATGTCATTTTTCTCCTTTTGTCAGAATTAACTGCTTTATAAACATTACACAAAATAATATAATTAAATGGTAACACTTTTTAATCATTTTTGTATCCTTATAAAAGAAGTTCTCACCTTTTTCTCTGATCACATCGATCAGGATGTCGATCACTATAAACGTCCCTGTCCGTCCGATCCCTGCACTAATGGATAGGTGGGAAAACCAAAGTCTGAATTAAAGTTGCTTCTGTATGAAAGCTGCAGTATGTAAATTATACAAAAATATGCGACAATGATGCAGATAATCTGTGAAAAGACCAATCTCATCCACCTCCTCTATAATGCTGTCTGAAGAAATGCAACGCAAAAACAACCAATCAGAGCCAGGAGGCGGGTCTTAGCGCTGTAAATCATTCTCATCCATCAATATGTTAATGGACAGAAACAACTCACTGATAAATAAACGTTTATCCACCATCATCGGTGGCTATGATAACTAGCCCAGCATTCATAGCAGGCTATGCTAGTGCTAAGACCTGCCTCCTGGCTCTGATTGGTTATTTCTAAGAGCACTGGGAGAAGGTTGACAGTTTCAAGAAATATGTAAAAATACTTTTATAAATGTTACATACTGCAGCTTTAAGTCAGATATATATATATATATTTTAGTGTAGATCTGTGAGTACCTGCAGTGTACTGTTATGGGTCCAGCATCCAAAATGCTCTCCTGTTTCAGGTTGACTTCCTCCAAGAAGTCCAGCACGCCGCCCGGGTCAGCGGGGACGCCGTGGTCCGGCCAGGTTCTGAAGTGGTACTGCCACACTGTGCGTTCTGTGTTACCCTGAAGTCCAGTTTGGGATTGCAAGTATAACGTTTTCCAATCAGAAATGTGATGCATCCATTGTCTGAAACTTTTAAATTCCCAAATCCTCATGGTGCTGCTCCGACAAACCTTCTTGACGGGTAGATGGGCAACTCACCTGACCAACTTCGGACAGCTTCAGTTCTCTGAGGATGAAGTCATGAGCTTTCGTCTCCTTGACATTGCGGACGCGCATTGCGCCGTACTCCTTCAGAGCCGACATCTCGGGCCAGTACTTTACACACTTGCTCTGTGGAGATAATTCCATCATTTTAAAGTCTGATTCTAATCTGTCCAGTTGGATTTAAAGGGTCGCTGCTAAAAGACAGATGAAAAACAACCGGCTAACACAGCAAACAAATCTAATTCCAGGAATCCTTACCTTCCCTCGTTCCACCTCTTTGGTGGTCATCACGATGACCCGAGAGTTCTCCTGAAACACCATCCTCCAGAAGTCACTGATGGTGTTCTGCAAACAACCCTGAGTGGCAATGTAGCTCTTCTTCGGCTTGGCATTGTTGCACTTAGAGTCTGCCTCAGGCTGCAAGCACACATTCAGGCCAAGAAACACAAATCAACTGGCGAGGAAAGAAACCGATTCTCTGGAATAAAAAGGTTTTTGATGTAATATTCTAAGCATTAAGCGGCAGCATTATGCGTTTCTCATGCACATAGTTCCATTTTATAGCACCGTCAAGTAACTATGTTAAATCAGCTGTTATTTGTAATGAAACGTCTTAAAATTGGGCCTCTGTCTCTTTAAAAACTCCTGCTCTTTCTGAAACTCCGCATTCAGGAAGTGATCACAACATGGGCTGCGCTGTGAGGCGGAAGCTCTGAAGCTTGGAAACTGCAGCTCTGAGGAGGCGATGCGCCTTTGGTTCCCCCAAGAGTTTTGTACAGCTGAATGGTTGCCAGGGGAGACTAAAGGATTTCTCAAACATGCATGAAAGAAGCAAGGCAACACCTCATGTATGTTTTTGATGGGGGGGAACATTATAACATGATGTAAAGCTCAAAAAAGTCAATTTTACATAATACTGTCCCTTTAAACTTCATGGGGGTTTTTTTTAGCTGAACTGAGAAAGTCATTATAATTCACAGCAATAAAGGCTCGTCTATGTGAGTTACTAAGCTTTCCAACAATATACTAAATAACTTCTGGTGTTACAAACAAATGGTATCTGTATTTGTGTGGGCCCAGAAGGAGGTGAGGGGACAGGAAAGTCTACCATGATGATGTTGGCGTTGATGTAGTCGGAGCCGGCCTCGCTCGGGTCGCCATCGTTCAGCACGACACGTGAGTGGTCGACTGTCAAACAGAAAAAAAATAAGCCACTTGGTACAAAAGCCGACTCGAGTTGTTTTATATATAAAGAGCCGTGTGCGATACTCACAAGGCAAAATGTTCTTGTATCTGTTCTTGTTTTTGTTTTCTGGTCGCTGACCCTCTTTGCGGCTGTAGAGCAGCTTGCACTCCTGTTGCTGCAGAGTCTGAACGAGAGAAAAGAAAAGAGACAAAATGGTGTCACTGTGGGGGTTTTTGTTTGGTTTTTTTTAACAGGCCCTGAGATGAACTGATGAGGGTTTGGAGGCCTTTCAAAACTACTTGCAGTGCTTGTTTGTTTTTATTTATTTATTTGTCCATCAATTACTGTTGACTAAAACAACATTTCATATCATTTGGTTTGGGTCTAGAAAAAGAAAGATGAATTCTGCAGAAGAAAAGGCACAAATTTCCCCAAACCTAGCATGGATTTGAGTAAGTATCTGTTGTGGATGGTGAACACTGAAGTGTGCACTAACATCAGATTTTTATGAAAATCTTACACTACTTTCATATTGCTCCAGCCGTGTGGGTAGAAGACTTTATGTTAGTCTTTTTGCACAAAAAAGATGTTTAAGGTTCACAGAAAATTCAAATGAGTTTAAAAAAAATACAATTAGAATTACTTTTTTCACTTCTGTTAAATAAACACCAGGATTATTGATTAGATCATTGCGATAAATAATAATATGATGGTTTTGAGACCATTTCCAGGTATTATATCGATAAAATATTAAATCATCAGAATGGAAATTGAATTGAGCTCATTTTGATTTATCATGACGACTGCGACAGGTTTAGTGGCAACAAAATACTAAAACTTTTGTACTTTATTATCAAATATTTGCTAGGAAGATTTGTGTCAAACCAATGATTTTGTTATTGTCTGCTGCATTGGAAAATAACTGCCCATGACTCTCATGCACATCTATAAACATACATTTAATATCAGAGTAGAAAAAGATGAAATGTATTTGTTCTGTAAACAGTAAGATTTTTTTTTACCTCAAATTCTTCCCAGAAGCCTTGCTTGACCTTGTCCGTGGCCTCTGCCAGCTTGCTCAGCTCCCGAACTCGACTTTCGATCTCGGCTGCGTTAATGCGGGTAGTGTTCAGCGGCTGCAGAGGGAAGGACGGGTTAGCTTTCTACTGAGCAGAAATTGTCCTACTGAACTGAAAACAGAGCAGACCTGCTTCAGCTGGAGGACGGTGCCAAGAGTTTCCACCATGGGGTTTTTCTTGTAGTGCTCTACAAGGTCTGTGAGGGAGTCGAACTTCTCTCCTCCCCCCACGTCGTACTTCAGGTCACCCTGAGGAAGAACGCACGTGTTAAGTTTGTGCTGGTAAATGTGACCTTTTTAGAAATACGACTTGAACGTATCGTAACGTCATACCGGAAGCTGGACATAAAAGAGTTGACCTCTCTCACCTGGCAGCGGATCATGACGTGAGTGACCTTGGGTTTGCCGTCGTTGGTGTCCGTTTTGTCGTCTCCGGTGCGGACCGACAGAACAAAGTCCCCGGGGTGGCTCTGGCTCTCCCTCACCAGGAAGCTGCCGTTCTTGCCTTTCTCCGTCAGCAGCTTCTCCGCGTCGCGGCCTGACAGATGTCCGTGAAACCATCTGGGTGAAGAAGAGGAAGAAAAAAATAAACCTTGTAATAAATCAAGAGAGTAGCACACAAACTAAAACATGTTGCAATCCAAAAGAATCAAAGTATCGTGGTAAAACCTTTGTTAAAATAACAAAACTACATCACATCCTCAAGTATATATCCTTACACTCAAATCGAGCTTTTAATGCCATTTTATAGCACAATCAAGTAACTAAGTTTAGTTCAGCTGTTATAAAAATGCTATATTTATATAAGAATTAAATTTTCTGTGACAATACACTTTCAAAATAACTGAAAATAAAACTGGACTGAAATATTTATGTAGCTTTTCTTTGAGGTGGCATGCATTAAGTGAAGCCGAAGTTAAATATCATAAGCCTGTAATCTGTTGTGTGTCTTCCTTGGATTTCCATGGCATAAGGTGACATGTTGCTTTTGTTCCATGATGCTAGCAAAGCCAGGCAGCCATGGATGTTTTTGACATGTCAAAAACTTCTCCATCAGCACCGTGGCTCTCACACACCAAGCCCACCACACCAATACCTCACCTCAAGATCCCAGTTATCCAAACCTGAAAGTGAAACTGATGCCATGACCTACATTCTGATTATTCTGCCAATAAGTAACTTTACCCTTGACAGCTACTGCAGTGAAACTTTATTCACAGGTGGTCATTTCAAGAAAGTAAGCACAGTGGAAAAATAAATAAATAAATAAATGTTCTGTGGAATATATTGAATGCCACAACCTTGATCCCAATACACACATATTGTTTAAACCACAAATACATCGAAATAAATATACATTAATATCAAAGATGTAATGGGACTTAATTTTCTACAAAACCCACTTCGCTTCCCCTGATTCAGACCAGTGTATTCATTGAGTTTCAATACATCACAGTATGGGTAACAGTTGTAACAGCAGCATTAGGATCATTTTTTTGTCTGATGTTCCAAGTTGAAAATTTTGACTGGGAAAGTTGGAACTTGCCAAGGAAACCTGACTTTTGTATCCAATATGGCCGCCATGTTTATACCATGTAGATAAAGTTGCTTCTATCTCATTAAACTAGTGGTACGTATAGATCTGGAAAATATCACGAATCTTTTGTGTTTACATGCATTAAATGAAGAGAAATATGTTATAAACTTGGATTGCTAACAATATAAGTTTAAACCAAACCCAAATACCACTGGTTTCTGACTTTATAAGAAAAATGTAACAGTATTTATCTCCAAACTAAACTCCCATCACTTAATTTAATCTGGAAACTGTAAGAATTTGAACATGACGTAACAAAACACCTTTATGTGTACACATGAAAAGATATAGTCACGTGACATTACCGCATCATCATCGGAGCTCAATGATCTGGATGTCTGACAGCATCCTTCGCTCACCTCTCTGATGTGGGGTCAGCACAGTTGAGCGGATACTTGAGCTCGATAACGTCTCCGTTTTTCTCCTTCAGTTGCCCATGATGCTCCATGTAATACTGCACCAGCTCAGCTAGCGTGGCAAACTTCTCCCCGCCGTACAGGTCGTAGTAGTCTCCTGTGTTTTGGATCTTAATGTGGGTGACGGCTCCATTTCGCCTAAACAGAGGGAAAAAAATGTTCAGGAAATGTCAGCTTGCAATTAAATCAAAACAAAGAGCAGAGTTTACAGCCAAACTGTTAGCTCTGAGAGCAAATTTTATTAAAAAAAAGACTAAAGTCAACAACTATGTGGTAAAAATGCCTGAAACAAAAAATAAAAATAAAAATAAAAATACTAATTCTTTAGAAGTAAATTTGCCTCATGTTTTCAGTCTTGTAGATGTACAGTAAACAAGATAAGATAAAAAAAAACTGGGTTATATTTTTTAAAACAAGAGAAACAAGCTTTGAGTGTGTCTGTGGAGATAAATTAGGGATGCATCAATAAATTGACCCTAATTTCCTTCACTTTGGGTGTTTTCACAGCTGATAGCGGTTCAGTTGGAGACCAAAACTGTGACGTGTCACAACTTCAGCTGCTGTGGTTCTTTTTCACACTGAATTGTAACAAACCAACCAAAACCTTTAAAAGAAATTTAAATGTTCATCTCCTAGCCTATGGGGGTGCTGTACCAAGAACCACTGAAGGAAACTACACAAAAACCTTTGAAGAAGACGTTGAGTGCAACTTCCTTCTTCACAAAATGTAAACAAAAATGGAGTGGCGTCAGATTTTAGTGGTTGAAGGATTGGCCTTTTCTCTTTGGTAGAAGAAAACGAGTCATTTCTCCTGCTGGCATTAGACTTTGTTTTGGTTGAACTGGACTTTATAGGCGACAGAACAAGAGTTCTGCGGATTAAAGAGGGCTGGAGTCGATAGAGTTAGCTCCACTTAAAAAAAAACGGAATCAGCAGTTTAGGATTTTTAAATATCAGTAATGGGCCAGAAAACTGCAATTGGTGCACCCCAACTATAAACTAATGTTTTATTATTTAATCCAGGAGCCCCTTATACCAACTGCCCACATTGAAAGTGCAGTTAAAGAAGCTGTCAGATGAATGGTGAGCGTTTTGTGACCAACAAAAAAAAGGGAAAAAAAAGCATATCTCTTCTTCCTGATTCAACCCAACAGATTAAATAAACTTAGTCATTGCAGGCGACCACCGCTCACTGAGAAAATAGAAAAAGAGAACTTGTGGCAGGTCAGAGGCTCACCAACATGTAACTGTCGCCAGCTTACTGGTGGCTGTGGGAGTTAAGAGACGAGACTTGCTGGTCTGAACCAGCAGCGACTGGTTCTCTCCTGTGAGAACGCCCCGTGTCCACGAGGCAAGCAGGACTTGTTTTGTCTCCACAGGAAGTAAATACAGAGAAAGATGAGAGAGTGTACAGCTGAAATACAAGCCTGCGACTAAAATAACATTGTCTCTTGTCAGCTGCACTGACTTAATGATACTTCATCTGAAAAATGTACGCCCTGACAGACCAGAGATAAAACCACGTTTCATATTAAAAAAAAAAAAAAAAAAAGAATGGTGCTTTTTTTCCTGGCAATCATTCACTCAGTTTAATATAAATATCCTAGAATGATTCTACTGTCAATTTAGTTCTCTAGGGAGAGGCACACTAACATGCTTTAAATCCACATTTCCAGAAAACACTGAGCTTTCATTCCAAGTCATGTTTGTGTCTGGCTTATAAATGAAAGTCTAATATTTGCTCTCCTTTTAGGCCTGGATTGCTCTTTACGAGCTCCTGGTGGACCATCTGCTGCATGCTGCCCGGCTAGCAGCTAACTGCCTCTCTGTTAGGTTAGTTTAGAGAGGCAGATGCAAAGTGGGGGATCTCTGGTAAAGCTAGTATTGGGTGGCATTGATTAAAAATAAAATATCCAATTATTTCATACCAGATTCAATATTACTCTCTTTTTTCTATTTTTTTTTTTTTTTTACATCCCTCCTGTGAGCTGTACATCAGAGCATTAAGGCCAAACTGCAAGAATTTTTGCTTTACTACTAGAATATAGTCTGGATATTAGCAAGATAAAGATGCAATATTGCAAGAAAAACGTCTTAAAATTACAAGAAAAAAATGTTGCTTTAACGAGAAAAAAAAAGTTTCCATAGAGTTATCAGGAAATTATTTGAACAGCTCAGTTTGTGTGGTTATTTCTTCGAAATAGACTCGGTCGTTTTCCCGATAGTTTCAAAGTACTGCTGCTGATAATTATCTTAATATATTAAAAGACGAAGGATTTATATTTAGTATTTTCTGTAAAACATATACTAAGTATATGTTTTACAGAACATATACTTAGCATTTTGTGAAGTAAAACTTCACAAAATGCTCAACATTCCTCATCTGTTATTTTTTTGTTTTGGAGTTTGTGTAAATTACGACTTTATTCTGGTAATATTATGACTTCATTCTCGTATTTTTTATTTTTTTTTTAAATCCTAGTCTGACCCTAATATTTTATAACAGAGTTCACCTAATTTTAAAGACCTAATAAGTAGAAGAGTTATTAGAACACACTTGTCAACTGGGAGCGCTGACATTCCTCTGACCTATGGAAACCTAGGAAGCGGATTTGTGAAAAAAATAAAATAAAATAAACAGATTGTCCAAAAAGAAACCATTAAAAAAACAACAACAACAAAAACAACAAATCAATTTATTGCCCAGCCCTACGTAAAGCACCTGTCTGCAAAATATTAAGTTTCTAAATTGCATATCCAATACTTTCAAATCCCAAGTTTCTATTTATTGATGCGACTGTTTTCAGAAAATTACATTTTAGGTGACGTAAAGTCGTGTATTCCAAGGATCCGACAGTGTTTCCTGCAAAGATTGCGATTAAAATGTGTAGTATGTTCCCTTTTCATTCTGGACAAATCCAAGAAGAAGCTTGCCAATTTGCAATTTATTGCTTTGGATATCCCATCTGAATTCCAACTGTGTCCTGAGCCTCGCGGCTTACCGTACTGAGAGGGTGAAGTCTCCTGGATTGCTTTTGCTGGGTCTGGCTAAAAAGCTCCCGTCCACTCCTCGGGTCAGCAGGAGGTTCTCCGCCTCCACGCCTGAGATGTTGGGGTGAAACCACCTAGAACATGGAGGAATGAGGATAAACCATAAGTGGATTCAATTTTAAATGGGGAACTAAGTTTGAAAAATATGAAGCATCACTCCCATAACTACCCATTAAAAAAAAAAAAAAAAGAAAAAAGAAAACATCTTCCAGAACACAAACGCATGAAATGAACTATCAATATAGTTCTGGCAGTAACTTGGGGTGGAATTGTTTTCATAATATTGTGTAGCACTATTGAGATAACAATAAAATCCTAAGAAATTGTTTTGTTTTCTAGTTAATTGCATAGCTGTGACTCCATAGCGCCACAAACACACACGCACACACACACACACACACAAAAACATTCTCATTTAAAAACAGGCTTCTTCAGGACACCACTTACTTAAAAAAAAAGTGTCAGAAATGATATTCCACAGTAAAATGTTCTAGATGATACAACCAGTTGCTGGCTGCTAATCCTCCTCATTTGCTTTTGCTGCTCTGCATTATCATAGGCCGGCAGAGATGGATGCAAATTAATAAATAAATTACAAACATATTTCAACAGATGTGCAAATAGAACTTTATTAAGAGTAGCTTTCTTTAATTGCAAAATATAAACTTCTAGTTTTTCTTACTTTTCAGGGTGAAACTGATTTTATTTATTAGGCTATTATTATTATTATTATAATTCATGGAAGGCACCTATTGTTCTACACCTAATAGAATGTCTCTTTATTGGGGCCTACCCATAGCAATACATACGGAGGACAGTGACTGATTTTCAAAGGAAGTCCGTCACTGCCTCTCATGCAATGCATGGAAGGCATTGCATGGCAGTGCCTTCCATGTATTGCAGGGCAGTGCATTAACATTAGCATTTCACTCCGCCCACTAATGCACTGCCTTGCAAAGCAATGAGATGTTGCTTTGCAAGGCAGTGCATTAGCATTTTCCCTAAAAAAAGCTTTTACCTATTTTTCTTACTTATTAGCCATGTTTACTATACTGAATGGAATAAGTCAATGACAGACAACATGCTAGTGATGCCCCACATGCTACTGACAGCATTCACACCAACATTAGCATTTTAGATCATTTTAGCTTATGCATTAATTTGAATATACTGAATGGTGCAAGTCCATGTTAGTTAACATTCTTGTGACTCTCCACATTCTATTTTGTAATTGTTAGCTAAACGTAGCATTGATGCTAATTTTCAGCATCAGAACGCTGGGCACACTTTGGCAGGCCCCGTTTAAATTTATTCAGAAATGTTCACGTTATTATTATTGCTGAACACAACATGGTTTTCGAAATGTTAGCCAGAGAAACATTTACCAGCATTTTCCGTTAATCCATTCAGACCAAATATAAACGTATGCTGAGCAGAGATGATATTTTGCATGTGATGCTGACTCGGTATTTTTCCCAGAACAGACTCAGTTTCTGTCATGTCTACCAGTGGACCTTCATTGAGCAGAGGTCTGCGACTCCAGTCAAACCCAACAGGGACCAACTTATTCTGTTAAACACATAACCTAGAGGAAGTCATATTTTTAGCCCTCTGCCACAACCTTTCACGCTTATTCAAGTTTCACACATATTAATTATTCTATCACTGAAAGGACTCGAAGACATTTCATTCAGCAAATGTCTTTTTGATGCATATTATGTAATACAGATGCAACGGCTACCCTTAAAAACGTGCCCACTCATAGACTCATTGGTATTTATTTAGTATCTTGAACTTTTATGAATATGAATTGAAGAAAGAGAAATACAAGCCGTAAACCTTCAAAATAGTTACATGCAAATTAACTTATTTGAAAGAGATTAAAATAAACTTTCGAAGACAGCTACAACTCGTTAAAAAATTTTCACCATCCCTTCCAAAACCTTTTAAATGCTTGCAAAAACAAACAAACAAAAAAAAAAACATTAGCAACATTAGCTTGATGCTAATAATGTAAAATCTTACTTTGATGTGATATGATCGGATTCCTCAGTTTTGAAACTTTATTTCTGACGATTAATTAAATATGTTCAGTGTAAGTGCAATATCTAAGAGTTTCGGACTTTATTTTATTTGTATGTTTATTTTTAATAAATACCAGAGTTTCAGTGATGTGATACCTGATATAATTATACACTACATACAGATTGAATAAAAAGCTCATCTTAATAGCCAATATATGTTTCCCCCCCCCTTCCCCCACACGGATAAATGATACATAGGGAAACGTGTGAATGTGAAAAGAGTTGCTGAAAACAGAGTAAAAAGTATTGTTTACTGAACATGTTCAGAGTGGGCTTTTCAAGTGACCGTTAGCGCAGCCCCCGGCAACCTAACCAAGCTAACTGTTTCACTCTCTTTGCTTTTCTTCCAGAACCTTCATTACCCCCAACAAACCGAACCCCAAACAGCTGAGCGCTGTTAAACTTAGCTGGCTCAGCTAACATTGTGACCAGACATTGTTTTCCAGACAGCAAAATCCCCCCTACACCCCCCTTACCTCCGAGATGTCATTTTTTTTTCCGTTCCTTACTTCCTCGCTGGCACTTAGCGGTAGCGTCAACAAGATGACGAACGTTTGCGACCGTTTCCGCTTCAGCTAGTCAATAAAGTGCTTCATCGGACAACACCCGATCAGACCGGGCACTGAAAACTGGCTAGACATCCACATAAAATGACAGTAGCGTCCGCTGCAAAAAGTCTCTAGGCCTCGGCCCTGAAGACTTCACAGCCAGTCGGCTGTTGGACGTCACCAAACATGCGACGCCACAAAGGCTGCTCGGATTTTGTTACCGTGAGTGTCCGTTTTCTGAGAACCTTGATATAAAGTTAGCTTTTGTACAGTCTCCGCCCGAGCCCCCTAACCGGCAAACGGTGTGACTAAAATGAAAGGCCCCAATAACCCTTACGTTGCGCATGCCCACTAAAATCCTTTTTTATGTTATTTAGCTGCGAGAGAGACGGCTCATCAGAAAAAAAGAGTTAACTCCGGAGTGTGTCAGATCCAAGCAAACTATAATTGTCTTTAGGAGTTTTAAAGAAGCAGTTTTCCGCTGAATCTTGGACTCAAGCTTTTGCTTGTTTATATATTTTGTTTGAGTATATTTCAATAAGGATAGTTGAAACCAGATATTACACTAAATCCGAATAAACCTTTCCCGGTTTTGGCACTTCACCAAGTGTATGATATTATGAGGGTAGAGGATTATGTGAAAATAAAAAAGATTATATTCTATTCTTCAGAAGTTTATTTATAGCACGTTTTCAGCAACAAGGCAGTTCAAAGTGCTTTACATGATTAGAAGAAAAACAAATATAAGCACAGCAAAAGAAAAACTACACTATAAAATGTTTCAGTTGATCTTAATCTGAGGTAACAGGCGAGTTTTCACTCTTGATTTAAATAAGATTAGTGAAGTATAAAACTGAATTTTGGTTCCCCATGACATTGTAAAAACACAAAAAGACAGTCATAGATTTAAGGGCACTTGAGATTAAATGCTAAAAACAATCTGAGAAACAGGTAATACATTGCATTTTGATAATAAAGTGACAAGTATGTTGTTTGTGTAGCCACCTGAAATTAAAAGTGCTGTGAAAAATTATCTGACCCCTATTCTTTGGTCCTGCTTAAATATTTCAGACGATCAAGGAAATGTCAATATCTAAGATAACCTGAGTAAATGCAACATGTGATATCCAATTTAATAATTACTTTAATGAAAACAGTCCAAATTATCCTGCTCATATGTGATAAAATAATTGTCTTGTAAGATCAAACTAACCTGACAAATGAAGCAAAAGGCAACAAAAACACTTAAATAGAAGTCAGAATTTTTAAAGTAATTTGAGTTATGATTATTATTTTCACTTTTAAGGGTTAACTTCAATAACAAAACACAACAATATGACAAAGACTGTTCATCAAATCAACCAACATTGTGTTATTTAGGTTCTGCGTACTAACTTGCTTTTTAATCATGACTTCCATTAGAAAACAGTGAATTTATTCAAGACTTTCATCGGAATTCTTTCTATTGTGATTTGGAAATTAATTCTCATATAAGTCGTAAAGTGTCTCATCCTGAGGCGCTGCCGTAAAGATTGGCCCTTACAGCTTGCCGTTTAATAAACCGTACGTGGCAGTCAGAGAGCGGAACACGGCTGTAGAGTGGAGCTCCTTCCCTGTTCCAACTGTCCGCTCCTGGAAACACGGCAGTTTTCCTGTCTGTTCTGTAAAACAAAAAGAAAAAAAGGGAGACACTCCTTATAGCGTTGGTGTTTTCAGCACATCGTTTCAATTATGTTTACCGTCTCAGAACTTGTTGTCTTGCTGGCCGTTCTGTGTGCTACCGCGTCCGGCTACTTTGTTAGCATAGATGCTCATGCTGAAGAGTGCTTCTACGAGCGGGTCAACTCCGGCACGAAGATGGGCCTCATGTTCGAGGTGGCCGAGGGAGGCTTCCTGGACATCGACGTAGAGGTAATATGCTTCTTCAAGTGCATCCAACTATCATAGCCGTGTATTGTGTACGACTTGGAGCTATTTCTACTCAAATTCCGAACTGGATCGACAGGCCCTGTGCTAACGTTAGCTGCTAGCGATTAGCTGTCTCTCTGTGAAACGTCACCTGAAGCTAAGTACCTATGGTCCGGATTTATTTATGGCATTTTAGTCAATTGCAAGGAATTAACATTTATCTCGTTGTATATATCACAAAGTCGCCATTGTGGTTAAGACATTGCAAGGGTGATGCAGTGTTGATAAATTGGATGCAGCTTTAGCATTATATCTGGGTAGGCTACTATATCAGACATTATTTAGGAGTATATTTTGAATTGTAAGTTTAAAATAAAGTTCAGCTTTGCTTCCCACAAGTGTTCTTGAGTTTTGCTTCCAACTCAAATAGCCAAATATATATATATAATTTAACCCCCTGGCAGCTGCCATATGCCGACCTCTCAATGATTTGGTAAAATTCGTGTCAGAGTTGCCAGATTTCGCAGGAGAAGCAAGCAGAAAGGTCTTCAAAATCACACATGAAAGGAACGACACCTCTGGAAAAATAACAATTTATATCGTATTTCATCAGAAATAAACGCTTTATAATAAATTTTGCTTAGTAACCTGAACTGGCAGCTGACCCATCCATTGGGTTCACCTGCTTGTTTCTGGTCTGGGTCAGTCGGACTTTCTTTATCCAGCCGTTCACTTTTACATAAGAAGGTATTTGATAATGTTAGCTTTTATACATTCATTAAATTGTGATGGTTTTCTTTTTGTTTGAGCAAATGCATAACCATGTGCTAAATAAATAAACAAAAAAAATGAAGCATGCAGACTAATGGATTCCACAAAATCGATACAATGCTGAGCTCCAAGATAAATGGATTTTAGAGTATACTTTTGAAATCTTGCCTCTGTGCTGGAAAAACAGGGTTGTGTTTCTGGTGTTTTTTATTTGTGGCTTTTATTGAAGGGAGAAAAATATATTACAAATGTGACATTTTTAACTCCTGTTTTTGCATTTTGCACAGCCAGCGTTACCGGACTGGCAGGCTCTATGTTTTTCCCTGTGGAGTGAAGATCTCTACTTAAAGTCTAAAGTTTGAGATTTCCTAAAAGAGGCCACCATGTCCAACTTCCTTTGACATTAAAATGTCAAAGGGAAAAACAGAGGAACCTTCCTTTACTCCATTCAGCCATTTTCGGTTAAAAAATGTAACTCCCTCTCACAACATGAATGACTTCACCCCTCAACGTGTCTTGATGAAGTTTCACAAAAATTTTAATCTCGGAACTTCCTGTCTGACTTTTTCATTCTGTGTTTAAGTGTATAGTTAAGAGACTTTTAATGGCGCAGTGAGAGACAAATTAGATTTCATTTTGTTTGTTTGTTTTTTTTTTTTACTCTCCAGTTTCTGATCAAGGGCTGTTTAACTGAAAATAATCTGATTCTGGTCAGTGGGCAATTTCTCTGTTTCTCTATTGTTTTGTCCATCAAAACTGAACCATATCAAGATAGACTTGATGATGGTGAAGATTCACAAAGTATATTGATTACCAATCTGTACAGTGCATGATTGAAAAATTAAAGGTAGTCTATTTTCCAATAATGTGTGCTTCATAGAAGTAGCTCTGAATGTACAAAAACCAGACTGACAGTAATGTAATTTTATCAGTGTCTTCTAGCAATTTGAAACTGGAACGTTGGTGTTTTTGTCATTGAATAAATATATTATACAACATAGGGTTGGACTATATGACTGAAAATCGTATCATGAGATCAGTGTTTTGTCTATAGTGTTTTGTGTGTTTTTGTTTGTTTTAAATATCTGAAGTTTTCACTATACACAGTTTTATTTTTAAGCCGTTAGGCACTGTGAGGAAACCTTAAACTGCTGCGGCGCAAGTTACTCAACAGGTTGTTGCTAGGTAATGAAAGAGCGAGTCGGCTGAAAGGTTGAGTGGCTAAAGACTTTACTCTGCCTACATCCCCCAGGATGCTTTGCGGTTCTGGATTGGTGTTCCGTGAACAATCTATAAATTGAATATTAATCTTTCTATGAGATGTATTATTGCTGATGTCACCTGTGTATTGCGATATACGTATTATTGATTTATTGTGCAGCCCTAATACAACAATAAATTTGGTTAAAAATAGCTGAGTTTGTTGTGGAGGAATTTTTGAATAAAAATATTAACAGTTTGATGATAAAATGGTTCAATCAATTTGGAGGGTGTTTAGAGACAATTCAGTTCACCATGAACTGTTTCCCTCTTGCAAAGTGATCTTGTATTTTAGTGAGATTTAACTCATGGACTCCTCTACTCATTTAAAATGAGTAGCGGATCATTTATTAGATCATGTCAGCCCATCTCGGTAGGATTTAAGTTCAGACTTTGACTATGCCAATGCTGACTGATGGCTAAACTTTTATTTTATTTTTTTATTAAAAAGCAGAATTCATCACTCAGTAACAGTTATCCGGGTCCCGAAGCAGTCCCAGACCATCACACTGCCACCACAGTGTTTCACTGTGTGTTCAATGTCCTTTTTTGCTAGTTTTACACCAGATGTCACACAATACAGAGCTCTTTCAAAAGCATTCACTTTGGTCAGAATATTTTTCCAACAGTTTCATGGATCATCGAGATGTCTAATGAGTCATGATTTGAGTTCCTCCCACTGATAAAGTGATCAATTTCTTACTCATTTCCATTAGTCATAATTTATTAACCAGAGTTGCATCTATGCTGATAGGTCTCCATTTATAAGATGTTAAAACTTGGAATAAATTGCTATTAAAATATTCTAAATGGCTGTAAGGGTAACTCCTGCGTTACTCACTGCATGATACCAGAGTGCAGTATTCATGTTGACTGGAGCATGATAATTGTTGGCTAATATATGTCAACTATTGGGAACTTGCATTTTATGTTAACGTAATGTTGGACAGTCCATTGGCAGCAGATGCTCTCATCAGATCTAGATGACATTGAAGAAATATAGACACCGTCATTGTATTATCGCAAGAGTGAGAGACCACAGGCTGCTGAGTAAAGCTCACAAGTAGTTCTCTCTCCTCACTAAAGATTTGGATCACCAGAAATCCAAACAATGGCATTTTTGCCTAAGACGTAGCAGCGATGGATACATGGGTAAAATTTTCACTACTTCACTTTTTTCCCCCCTGTCATTTTCTTTTAAACCTTCCACAAAATTTAAACATTACTGAAAATCAGTTTTGAGATTGTAGGTGAGTGGGCCTTTATTTGAGAGTGTTATTGTGCTTTTGTGGATGTATAACTGCGATAGACTGGTGACCTGTCCAGGGTGACCCCGCCTCTCGCCCGGAACAATAGCTGGAGATGGGCACCAGCAACCCTCCCGACACCACTAAGGGACAAGGGTGTAAAGAAAATGGATAGATGGATGGATGGATGGATGGATGGATGGATGGATGGATGTACAATGGCAATAAAAATTGTCGAAAAAGAATTTACTATATATCTGCCCCATACAGTGTTTCATAAGCCTGATGGACCATCAAGATGGGTTAACAAGTCTCTAGTTAGTGAAACGGTTGGAAGCACAATGGCAACATAGAATGGTCAGTATGCAGATAAGTAGGGAGACTGAGGTCAGGTGTTTTTATTTTACACAATTTGAGTTTTTGGTCTTTTTTGTTTAACTCGAACACAGTAGTGCCCCCTACCACCAGGCTTAGCAAGTTTTGTAGGTGTGAAACTGCACTCTTTCAATACTTTTTACCCAGATATCGTTCTCTTTTCAGATAACAGGGCCTGATGGTAAACAGATTTACAAAGGGGACAGAGAGTCCAGTGGGAAATACTCCGTTGCTGCACACATGGACGGAACCTACAAGTTCTGCTTCAGCAACAAGATGTCCACCATGACACCCAAGATCGTCATGTTCACCATCGACATCGGAGAAGCGCCGAAAGGCCAGGACATGGAGACGGAAGGTAGTCAGACCGGCCACGCTTGAGTACACGGCCCGTTTTTTGTCATGCTATTTCTATTTTAAAGATTTTATCTTTTGAATTTCTTTTTTGACTTTACTTTGGGTAAATTTCCCTCCTTTATAGGTGGTGACAGCTGGGATGGTAGGAAAAAAACGGGAAAGGCAGAATAAGTGAAAACTGTCATTAAGTTTGGGATGCACCGTGGAGTTCTCTAACCAGTCTTGTTTTTATATTGTAAACTAATATTACATGTTTGCAACAGAGGCAGCCTTAATGTTTGTTTTTCTTTTTTTAACGGTTTGACTGTTTGCACTGTATCAGAAAAATGGTGTGCTATGAAAAAGTATTTGCTTCTTTTATGGATTTCAACAGGTTTAGCTCGTCTTTCTTGGTTACTAAAGAGCATCAGACAGAAATTAACTGATGCAAATGTCAGTTTAAGGTGTAAGGTTACTTTACAGCATCTCGATCTGGTTTAAGTGCACACAACGACCGAAACACTCAGAAGCCTTCCGTTTTGCTTGGGTTGAACCTGCTGCATAAACATCTGAACATTTGTTTACTTCAGGATTTTTCTTCTAGAGAGAAAAAAAAAATCATGGTTTCATCACTTCATGTCTTAAAACGGTAAAGCAGCTCCAGACCATCATACTGCCACTACCATGTTTCACCGTTTGTATGGTTCTCTTTTCTGAAAAGTTGCGGGTCTTTCCCAAAAAAAAGTTCCACTTTTGCCTCATCTGTCCATTTTGTATTTCTTCATGTTATCCAAGTGTGGGTTTTTTTTTTTGTTTTTTTTGTTTGACAGCAGTCATTTAAATGTGAGGCAGATGAAATCCATAAGCGAAACAAATACTCCTCCACAGACTGTAGATGTAAAGGAATCGTGTCACAGATGCAAGAAAGGTTTTGCATGTACCGCGTAAAAGCCTGACGCATGTCCTCTGTGCATGTCGTCCTTCTGGGTTTAACGGCTCATTCGCTGCTCGTTTCAGCTCATCAAAACAAGCTGGAGGAGATGATCAACGAGCTCGCCGTCGCCATGACGGCAGTGAAGCACGAGCAGGAGTACATGGAGGTCCGCGAGAGGATACACAGAGCGGGTAAGAACACAAACTCAAGAGCCGTTTGATCTGATGAACGCAGTAAAGGTTATCCTCACATCTTGTCTCCTGTTTATTTTTTCCTTCTACTAGTTAACGACAACACAAACAGCAGAGTGGTCCTGTGGTCCTTCTTCGAAGCCCTCGTTCTGGTGGCCATGACACTCGGACAGATTTACTACTTGAAGAGATTTTTCGAAGTGCGACGAGTGGTGTAGTTCCCTCATCCATCCCTGTGTGTCCTCCACTGTTCTTTTTTTTTTTTTTTCCCCCCCTCCAACATCAAGACAATTATTTCCACACTGAAAGACAAGACTGGCCGTTTTGAGAAAAGCCAACATGTGATTTGATCTGATGATTTTTTTTTGTTGTTGTTGCTGCTCTGTTACTTGCTTGATTCCCTTTTTAATTGTATGTTTGGAAACAAATGGCCAAAAGAGTCTGCTTGTAGATGTCGGATTCTTTAGTTCTTTTCCTTCTCTTTTTGGGTTTGCCAGTTTTTTGTCGAGGTTTGATTAAAATCTAGCTAAACGCCGGTTACTTGCCAGGAAGCATTCGCTGGCGCAAGAGGCAGAGGCTTCTGCAACCACAACACAAGATTTCAGAACACGTGTGCGGAGTCACCACAGGGGGAATGTAGGATTTCAATTGGGAACGCAGTATCTAGGAGGTGGAGGGTTGTTCCTAGGGTCAAAGTTCACCAACTCCACTCCTCATGTTTTGAAGTTTGAAGGATTCATATTGCAGCTGGTCTTTCTAAAAAAATAAATAAAAAATGAGACAACCTCTACCACTGTTATTGGATTGAAAGTGGAACATGCCAAGGGGGAACTCGGTGGAGATTTTCATGGAGGTTCGTCTCTGCTCCCTGTGTATTTAACTAAATCCAACCAGGCCACTTGTTCACACATGTAGTACGTTTTTACACAGTTTAAAACTCGACTGCAGGACGTTGAGGGTCAGATTTTAACTGAGCTGTTTGGATGACGGCTCCAAAAACAAAGTGAATGAAATCTGAAATCCATATTAAATGTTGACTGAGGGCAGGGTGGAAAGGGGGTCGGGTGGGGGTTTATACACTTAATATATTTTTGTCGGGCTTAGTTGCTTTTAGAATTCTCGTCAGGGTTTGGGTTTCACGACGATACCGTTTTCAACAATATTCCATGTTTTGTTTCTGGAGCGTGTCGAGTGTCACGCAGCCATCAGAACGCTGCGGCGTAATTCCTACGGTCACTGAACGCTGCGTGGAACGAAACATGCTTCAGTTTTGTATTAAAACAGTTTTGGCGACCTCAGCCTGCTCTGGACACAGTGTCTCCTTTTGTTTTTGTGATTGCAACAACAACTTGCTTCATGGGTCTGTACAAATGTAGGATGGCTTCCTGTGAACAAATGCCCCAGGTTTCATAATAAAGCCAATATTCTGTATGACTTTTTGTCTTTATAAAACGTCTTTTAGCAGCAAATTTCTAGGAAGAAAGGAGATTGCCTTTGTCCAGGGATGCAGCAGTCCACTTTTTTCACTCGATACTGAACCTCTGATATCTGCATTGGTGTCGGCCGATATGATCCAATACAGAAAAACGGTTCTGCAATGACAACATGTTTTGATTTTATTTATTTTTTTACATAAATGTACTGAACATTTATTTGCTGCACTAGTACAGCACACATACACAAGCTTGGTCAAACGGAAAAAAACAAGTTCATTTGTTCAGTCAATGCAATTAGGAGTATAACAACCAATGTAAAATAAACTGACAAAAACCAGTTTGACTACTTTGGTCAAACAAGTAAAAAACTGCAACAAACCTTTTAAAAGGTTCAGAAAGTGAAATTATGAATTGGAAATATAATGTAAAGTAAAACATGGTGTTGCTTAGATCACAGATCATTGAATTAGACAATAGATCTGCCCTTATCATACATGGTCACAATACCAGATCTAGAATCTTTTTCAATATTGAGACAGATACTAGTATAGGATCGGTGTAGCTCTACTCTTTTCACAACTCCTGAGACTGAATGCCTGTGTTTTTATTGGTGTTTCTTTGAGGGGGAAAAAACCTCATTAATCCAAGGTTTTCTGTTCTTTTTTATACTTATGACTTCCAGCTAAAGACGTGTTAAGATACAGAAATGTTAAGGTATGGCCCACAAAATCATGGACAGACTGTCCAGAAGACACCCTCCAAAAGGAGAGTAGGTCACAAAAGGTCATTGCTAACGATACCTAAAACATGAGGGGATAAGATTTTAATGCTACTTTCTGGAAAACTCCAAAGATCAAATTTATGCTACAAAGTTCTCTTTTTTTATTTATTTTGGCACCATTTTCCAGTTGCCATTGACAGCATGCATTGTGATTATAATGTAACTCAGGGGTGTCAAACTCCTGTCCTGCAGTTTGTAGATGTGCCACAAGTACAAAAACCGCTGGAATGAAATGGCTTAATTACCTCCTCCATGTGTAGATCAGTTCTCCAGAGTCCTGCTAATGACCTAATTATTCTATTCAGGTGTGGTGCAGCAGAGGCACATCTAAAAGTTACAGGACAGCGGCGCTCCAGAACTGGAGTTTGACACCTGTGATGTAACTGAACAGGACTGAAGGCTCATTAGCAGGTCTACATAGGATAAAGACCTTGTCCACATAAAAAGCAGCCACATCTGGACCTATGAGGGAACGTTCTCTGCTCCTGTTCCCTACCTTTGCCCCAACAACAGTCAGTGCTGTCTGTAACAAAAAACGAACACACAGCGATGAACGCAAGGCAACCGGTAAAAACCTCAGACGCAGCTACAAGTACAACATCCCACCTAACAGAAGAATAAATCAGAATTACAGTTTAATTTTCTATAAAAACACCTTGGGACGCCTGAAATCTAAAACAAAAAAATTTTGGTTTAAGGCTGATTTAGTTTTCAGCTTTTGGAAATTCAATGAACTAAACTGCTGAGTTGAACTGAAAGTGAATGGGGGAAGAAGTGACTAAGAATGAGCTGATGAAACCAGAACAATATGCTGAGTCACAATTGTCATCAGAATATCAATTTTTCAAAAATCACAAAAGCATTGGCGGATGTAGCATTCGGTTATTTTGTTATTTTATAATTTAAGACACTTGCATTTGAGCTCTTATCCAAATAACACATTGTCTGGTTCCAATGACTCACTACTGTTAACGTTAATTTCCATTGACAAAATGCTTAGGTTGACATGAAGTGATACCATTAGACAGTTCTTTGAGACGTTCAGTGCTGCTTTCACAACGTGAAAGCAAATAAACCTCTTAAGGTCATCAACATTTAAGTCTGGAATATTAATACAACATCAGCTCTTTAATGGATTGAACCTTGCGGTACCCCGCATCTGACATCTGTCCACCTTGATGAGAAGTTACCTACTGAAACAAATAAATATCTGTGCTTTATGTAAGATTCAAACCAGTTGAATACTGGACCACAGAGTCGGGCCCAACTCTCAGTCGATTCAGTAACATGTCATGATCTGCCTGTAATTCTGCAGTAGTGATTTGTCCAGATTGTTCTTCAGTGGTTTGATAACTGCTGTTTTCAAAGTCCGGGGGAAAACACCTGATGAGAGGGAAGAGTTACTACTTTAATCAGGTCATTAGCAATGACAGGCAAGACTATTTTAAGAAAATGGGTAGGAAGGAATGTAAGCTATAAAGACAGGCCTATTGACCAATCCAAATTCTTTTTGAGATATATCTGTTATTGTTGTTCATAAAACACTCATAGGTATGCCATTCACAATTACTATGGAGTAACTGGCTTATCAAATTTATATTTTTATCAACCCAGCTAGGTAGAAGTAATGGTTTGTTTTTATGCAGCAACAGAACCTGCTGATGAAACTTAGCTAATTTGACTGGATATTTTCTAACTTAAAAATTACAACACAACAACAAATTTAGACACCCTAGTTTGCTGAACAGATGATTTGGGAAAATATTCCACATGAAAGTTAAATTGTATTATTATTTTTATTTATTTATTTATTTATTTATTTATTTTTAATTCTTAATGCAATTAATTTCTACTATTTGATTAAAGACAGTGTAACGAGTATTAAAGATACAAATGAAATTCCTGCTAAAATATTCTTCATAGTTGTCCTGTAGTGGGTGGTTTTTGGCGCCCCCTACTGGTTGCGTATAAATTAGATGAGAAACCGAGAATTCCACGCAGTCTGTTCAGCGATCTGCTGTGGTAAGTCAACAAATCCGGTTCTCTTCTGAGTGATGTTGGAGGTTTGTTCAAAGGGTAACTTGGAGGTTTGTTACAGTATGCAGATAGATAAGTTGGCGAGTAGGGAGGCTAACTGCGCCATTTGTCTTTGTCATCCACCAATTGCAGGTCATTATGTTACATTAAATGTCAGTAATTTATGTAGTCAGTTATGTTTGTCAGTTTGTCATTTATGTTAGCCAGTTTGTTTTTTTATTTGTTTCTATGACGACATGACATGGCCAGGTTTATTTTCTGCTAATCACCAGAGGGCGCTCTCAAGTAATTTAATGATTAATTTTGACTGTATTTATTTTTCTAATTTATTTTTTTTTTTAAAACAAATTGTATTCAATAGATTTTTTTTAAATTGATTTGTGTTCTGAAACCATTATATGATCACATGTCACGGAAAATATTTTGTTGGAACTCAGCTCTGCTGTGATAGATAAGTTGACCAGTAGGGAGGCTAACTGCGCCATTTGTGTTTGTCAACCACCAATTGCAGTAAATCATCTAAAATCCAACTGACTGGCCTCCGCTGTGTGCATGATGGGACGAGTAAGAGGAGCCGTCACATATGACATGTATGATAAATATCACTGGCTCAAAAGTAATTCATATATTCATTGATAACTGGTATAAAATGTTTTATGTTTATATAGTTTTTTTTTCCCTAGTTTCACAATTTGAAATAGAAAATACAAATTGTTTTTATTCAGACTTCAGAAGTTTCTAGTTGTTCTGCTGAGGCAGTTACATCAATTTGTGACATCATGCTCTTCTGTGTGTGACATCATAAAGCAGCATTCTTGAATTCTAGGTAACAACCAGGAAAATATTGAACATTTAGGATATCTTATGGTCATACCACATTGCTTGTTTGTGATTTGTTTGTCCAGAAATGGCCATGGAAGAAAACAAAGAGCTAAAGACTCAACTTGCAGAGATCAAGCTTGAATACGACAAGCGGTTTAAGGAAATGGACAAGGAAATTGTCAAATTGTTTCAAGAAAACAAGGCACTGGAGCAAAAAGTGCAACAGCTGACCGAAAAGCTGAAGAAAATAGAGAAGGAAAAGGAAAGGCAGCTGGATTCAGACCAGCCACGGAGTAACATGCGTCTCTTAAAATATTTCACCATGGGCTTCGGCATAGGCCTTGCATGTGTTGCAGTACTCGAGACAGGTCTTGATGTCGAGATAGGTTTCAAGACCACTTCTTGATGGTCTTGGTCTCTGCCATTGAGGACCAGTGACGTGCGGGTCAGGGGAGGCTGTCATCATGGAAAAATATATAATAATAAAATCATTTATATTGCTATTTTCACTCTGTGGTTTGTACTATAAAGTACCTATTTTTTACTTAGCTTAACCAATTCTGATGATTTTTTTCTTCAAAATCGCTGGATTTTCGCATTTTCCCATTCAAATGCTCAGAAGCGAAGCCAGTGAGGCAGCAGCGAGCTGAGCCTCACCTGGTTAACTGCCATTCTATGAGAGCATGTTGGTCCTGTCTGTGAACAGGTGTTCTGTCATACCCGTCAATCCGGCATACTTTATGGTAATGCGCATACGCACATCGATGTTACGTTACATACTGCTTGCTCAGCAGATTTCTTATAAATCCGTCATATAAGTTGCATTTTGTGTGTTTTATTTCTCAGACGTTTACGGTAAATTTTATTTAATTAAGCTGCTATTTTAATCAAACATATTAACATAAATGACTTTTGCTGTTTCCAATATCGTTACCATACTGTAAACAAGACATTCCCATTTAGTCTCACTATTACTACAAATACTGTTTGACTACAAATTTGGTTGTGATCTGATAAAAGCACACGAATAATGCTGAAAACTGCACGGAATACGTCCTAAAAAAAAAAAAAAAAGCACATGAATAACGCTGGATGCTTACCGAAGCTGTTAGGCAACAAGCAGAACAACACGTTCTGCTTATTAAATAAGAAAAATCTAGTTATTTCCACGCAGTGGAAATAAGAAAAAAAATGTTTTTCTTATTTAATTTTCTTTTCATTTATCGTAAACGTCTGAGAACTAAAACACACAAAATGAAACTTTTACATTTATGACGGATTTATAAGAAACGTAACATCGATGTGCGCATGCGAATTACCACAAGGTATGCTGGATTGAGGAGGTATGACAGATAGAACACCTGTTATAAAATGGCTAGAAAAACATTGAATATATGGACTGATTTTCCATAATTT